GTATAGTTTTTATATGTAAAAAGCTAGCTAAATCTCTAGAACCACATTCCATGTCGCTCAAAAAATTGCCAAGAAATTGAAAAGCTGACTAGAAGTACTTATAAATATTAATAGAATCAAAAAAATTAAATTTTTTCAAATGCCATAGAAAAGTTGAAAATTTCTTGAATGGCCCTCCAAACAATTAAATCCTTTAATGTTCAAATTCCAAAACTCCAATAATTTGTAACAAAATACTTGAGATCCAATTTAATTGCGATTCATACCGAAATTTATGTTCGAAAATAGAATTGCAAAATTTTCATCTCCCATAGTTTTCCATTGATGATTTTCTTCGGAAAATTTTATTTTGAATATCTTTAAAAATTTAAGGTATGAAGTAAATTTTAGTCGTTTGCAGAAGTGGTAATCTTGATCGAAATAAAATATTAATTACACTAAAATATTTATATTTATACGTTCAATTTTAATTTACATCTGAAATAAATAAGCTCTCCCAATTGCAACAAATTGCCCTAAAAATTATACAAATAACGGATTAACAACAAAACGTGACGGGAAAAATTTAATAGCGGGACGGGAAAAACTTACGAAATTTCTGGCAAGTCTCATATTAAAGCCAAAAAAATTGAAAAATCTCGTAATTCGCACTGCGCCATTGAGCATCCACCACAAGATTTGACGCATGTTTTGTTAGTTGCTAAACCCTGTAATGGTTAGCATCAAAAACGAGAAGGGTTAGTCAAGATCTGGACTGAAAAATTTACAACGCTATAAACAATAAAATGATGAAAACATCCAGGGCTTGATTCCAGCTAGTAAATCAGAAATAAGCACTTTTCCCACACTCACCTAGGATTACCTGAGAAAAGTGAGAAAAATATCGTTTTTCATGAATAAATGATTGATACGAATAAAATCGCTTTCATTCTCTTCTTGAAAAAATCTCTCGGTTATTTAATAAATTAAATTAATTAATAATTGTTAGATTATTATTGTTGTTATTAATTTATTTTTTAATTGATTATTTATATTAATTTAAAGAATTAACGCCGCTTTTTATGAATTTCTCCAATTCATTCATTAGAGAATGTAAACTTGAACACTCCCTTAGGCATTAATATTATTATTAATGCGTTCGTTTCTATTACCAGCGGGTGTTTTTCATTTACAAGCTTATAAAATTATATAGAATAATATAATATGAAGCACTGATACAAGCATGAAGTTTGGAAGACCTTAAAATCAACTAATAAAATTGTTATATCTCTTGTCGCTATTTTGTCGCTTTATGTTTGATTATCGCTATTATGTCGCTCCATTTAGATTGTTTGATAATGGCTTGATCGCTTATTCAATAGACAAATTCACTGAATCATACAAATGTGCCATATTGGTTTAATTGATCTCTATTATACCAGTGTAATTACGGCAATACCATCGATAAAAAAAAGTTTCTTGATTTTTATATCGCTTTTAAATTTGAAAAAAATTTAAAAATTTGAAACCGAGATTTGATTTTTAGCCACGAACGTTCAATTGTATTATTTGTTCTTTTGATATGCAGCAAAGCTAATCGTATTTTGTGAAAATTTTCCATGCAGCAGTAAAAGAATCGTTCTTTTGCTAAAATGCACAAACAATATTAGACTTCCCTATAGCACTTTAGCCCTTACAGCTAAGATTATACATTTGATTTATTAAACACCCCTATCAAGCCTCGTAATTTCCTTACAACGACCTATAAATCTAACTCCTCGATCTTCTACTTATATAAACTGCATGATAAAATAAAATTTTTACAAAAAACTATAGTGATATCTTCTTAATTTTTCCTATATTATACTGTCAAGCTCTGCTTATATTACTCTATAAAAATTTCTAATATTTTCAAATTTTCCTTGGAATTCTTTTTAAATCTTATCATTTTTCCATCATTCCTTAATTTTCACTCGAAATCTATTATTGAACTACGAATTTCGTCCAAATTTCACTTTTGCTTACTCGAAATAAATACCACTGCCACTTTCGCCTTGAATTGCTCGAAATAAATAATTGTTTTATTTTCCTCAAAAATTAAATTAGCATTAAATTAGCATTTATGATATAAATTTTTTGCAAATATACTTTGTATTATTCAAATAAAATTGAATAATAAACAATATAATGCAATCAATATTATTATATTAATTAATATAGCGATAATGGCGTATTAAATTTCTAATTTTTTTCTTATCAAATTTCTTAACTCTTGTTTTTTGCAATGTTTTCTTTGGTGTTTTTAGCCTTTAGGGCATTTGCGCAAAATCGAATGCGATATCAAGATTTACGAAAATATTTTTAATCTATTCTGCAACAAGTGAGAGGGGGACACCGCTATTTTCAGGGTTGTCGAGAAGCTTGCAGAATGAATGAGTGATTTGCGCACTTAGCCGCTCTGTCCACATATCTTCTGGGTGATTGAACGGTTGTATTTTCTAAAAATATTAGATAATATAAATGTATGACATATGATGTATTATAAATATCAAATTATATAATATATTACATAATTACTTAACATTATTATATTTTTTTATATATTTTATTTTATATTTTATAAAGCGCTCATTTAGTGAAAAATCTACAAAAAAACAAAAAATGATTGAAGCATTATTGTGCGCCGAGATTTTAAGAAAGTCGGTTAACAATTATATCTTTTCGCAGATAAGAAATGTATGAAAAAATTTAGACAATCAACTGAGGTTGTAAAACTTAGTTAAATGACCGAGTTCTCAGATATAATTTCAAAATTTTTCAAAATTTTTTTTATAGAACTGGTTGGTTTTTTTAAAACATTTCCAATGCATCTTATGGGATCATCGAAATTATCAACTCAAATAATGTGCAGCACAATGATTATGGAATGGAAAAAAAAAGAAAGGAAAACTGTTAAAGGCCAGGATCGACTGAATAAAAACATTGGTTCAATTGCAATAAAAAGAGGGTTTATTGGCAATTTTGCTGTATTTTATAAAGTTGGCCATTGAATTAGCGAATAATTGCTCTCACCATAGATTTGTGAATTATTTATTTATATAATTTTTTATAATATATTTTATTGTAACAAATTTTGTAATATAATACAGTTTACATAACATAATAAATTATTTAATTATATAGTAATTCGGCTACTCCATATTTTGCGTATTAATTCACTATCTCCATTCAGCGGGAAAGGATAGCTTAGTGGGTTGTTGCTCAATTCACAGCGCCGATACTAAAGTTCCAGCAGGAGTAAACCTGTCCAAAAGTCCGGGACTCATCTGTATTTCTATCGCCAAAGGACTCTCTGGCATATTTGTCCAATGCGACAAGCCAGCAGAGCGAGTTTAACCAGTAATGGTGAAAAAAAAATTCGGTTCAGCAATCCTATAACTTAGTCTTTAAATATTTGCTTGGTTCTTCAAAAGCATTTCAGGATTATTTGACTAAGGGACCATGTAAGATTTGTGTGTATAGTTTATTTAATGAATATTTTTTGTGTAATTTTGATATACTTTATAATGTTAGCCACTGAATTAACAATTAATCAGGTTTGTAATTTATTTACTTATATATTTTTCCATAATATATTATATTATAGCAAATTTTATAATTTATAATATAATACAATGCAATTCACCTAATATAATAATAAATTGCATGATTATATATAATAATTTTGCTACTCCATATTTTGCGTATTTTTAATCATTCAGTGATTCCACCTAATAATCGTATAATTATAAAAAATTTATGAACATGAACCCTTTAAATATTTCCTTGGTTCTTCAATTTCTAATTTATTTAAGATTAAAGGACCGTACAATGAAAATTTTATTCCCGTAGTTTTCATTATAATTTTGGATTAGAAAAATTTTTTGTTCTGAATTATTCCATTATCGATTATCGATTATCAATAGTAACGGTTTTTGATGCAATAGAACAATTATATCGGTATTATGTTGAATTTCGGGAATTTCTTGCATCAGATAGTATTCGCATATTGTCGAAGAATCTTTGAAATTGTGCTATTCGATTTATACTTATAGAAAGGCTTATTCGAGTCAGAAAAGCGATTAGCTGATGCAGCTATCCTTTCATCTTCTTTTTTGTGAGTATTAGGACATGAAGCAAGCCAACGATGCGAACAACATTTAGTACCAAGGATATTAGACTTACGAATCGTGGAAAGCCAAGTCTATCTAAAATCTAAGCGTATCTAAATATTTGAATACTGTAATTATTTGACACAATCAACATCAATAACAAATATATATCAGAAATTATACCATAGCAACAATAACTGTAAATCGTATAAATCTAAGGTTGATAAAGAGTTTCTTGGCAGGCAAAGATTCAAAGCGCTCTCATGGCGAGAGCAAATATCAAATATCTTATCATTAAAAAATTTTCTAGTTGGTGATGGTGACTGTACTACTGCCGCCCTGCCAAATGACTCTTTAATGAAAATTTCTGACCACCAATTGAGATACCACAACCAAAAATATTGTGCACTAAGGAAACATCGTTACCTTCTCAGCAATTCTACTGCAATTTTTAACTCCATTCATTCTTCGAAACTATCTCTGTTTTTCTTACCTTTGTCTCTATAGAACGTAAAATTAAAAATTCAGATGAAGGGAAATTCAGCTGAAAAATTTGAAAAATTTGAAATTTGACATTCGAGTGCGAAGCATTTTATCATATCTGTGCTTAATTGCAAAATTTATTTATGAAATTTTTTTAGATTTCGCATTTTGAGAAAATAAAAATTATCTATTAATATCACAATAAAAGATCAATTTTTTGGAAAAATTTTTATTTTAGTAAGATTTTTATAAAAATATTTTATTTATGGAAAAATTTATTGAAAATATGTTATTTAACAATTAACAATTTCTGAAAAAATAAATTTGTAAAAAAAATTTTAATCTTTTTGGTAACATATTGGTAAAAATTTTTAATTTATTTGGCTATTAGAAAATTCGCATTGCTAAACGTTGTAAATTCGCGGCCTTTTCGGGATCCATGGTTGTCGTCGGTAGCTCCAAACATGAACCATTTTCAAGGTAGTAACCATTCATGCAAACACAATTTGATATTTTTCGACAATTTGTTATAAAATTGTAGGTAACGTCGTAATAACATAATTCAGTGTGGACCATATTTTCACCGCAAGGTCGTTCGACAAACATTCTATTTTGAAGAGGAATCTGGAATTCAACATTAATATAAGCCATGTTTTTCACTAAATTACTCAGTAAGAACAAAATGCTTGAATTTCCGACCTATATTACTATTTTGTTTTCTTACAGACCAGAATAAGCTCTTTTATGAAATTTAGAATCAATCGCTAAATAATGAGGGATCACATAACTTAGATCGGGTTTTCCGAAATATATTTGCGGCATAATTTTTTCCTCCCATTAGGAAATTAAAAGGGTAGAGATTGCAAGTTATTGCCCAAATAGAGTTCTAAAGCACTGAATTAAAAATAAGTCCATTAAAGGCATCATCCTTTTTGAGAAAGAGAATGATTGGAAAGAAATTATGAGCTCATCAGCCCTAAGCTCTTAAACTCGTATATAAATTCCTCTACTGATGGCAACTTAAAGATCATCATGGACATTGAAATATATGCTTAAATATCATTTTTTAGTGCAATTTTTAAGATACTTAGTGAAATAGAAAGGAAATGAGAGGAAAAGAGATTGAGTGAGGAAATTTGGAAATATTTGGGAAGGACTGCGTTCTGCGTTCACCTATGTCATCGTTGACATATGCACCGCACTGGTACCCTTCCCAGCCTTGTCCTATTCATGTGCATTTGCATCGCTCTTGTATACCAACCATTTATTCATATAGAGTTATGTGGATAAATTATTTATTTGTAATTATTAATTATAAATTATTTGTAATTAAAGACTTAATCGCTCAAGTTTGGGCTCTGAGTTAATATTTTGTACATATTCAGGCGTATTTTAACAAAATACTCTCGCACAAAGTCATTTATTTAAAATAGAAAACTGTGCACCGTCGATGGTGGAATAGTCGTAGTAGGTCTTCGACATGTGGCTCCCAACATTTGGAAACCTTCTTGGCATATACACGTATAATAGCACCACATAGCAATTTTTTTCTTCACTTTTTCCTTCATACCAACTGGACAATCTAGCATATCACATCGGCTAAGAAAATACACAATAGGCGTTTTTGTGAGCTGCAATTAACAATATACAAATTTGGTACCATTTAATTTAATGCAGGAAAAAAATATAGCTAGGGATAGAATGGCTCATTCAGTTGTTGCTCGATTAGGAGCGCCAATGCCAATAATTTGATTCTCTACCTGTACAACCTGTACAAAAACCCGGGTGATGCTGGCGACTCAACTATATTTCTATCGCCAAGCACTTCCCTGGCATATTGTCGAATGTAACAAGCCAGTGGAGCGAGTTTAACCAGTAATGGTGGGGGCTTTTTTAAAAAAAATGCAAGAAAAGAGAGCGAAAATCGGTGAAAAAAAAAAGAAAAATGAAAAAATGCAGTTGAAATTTCTGTTTCGTTATCTCTAAAAGTTTTTAAGTGAAAAAAATTAACCACAAATTTTTGATTATTATTTTTTTCTAAAATTTTCCTATTTTGCTATTTAAATTCTTAATTTCTTAATTTTTTCGAAAAATCTTTAAATATGAAACATTTAAATTGAAGGAACGCAGTTTATAATTTTAAATTAGATCTTTTCTTCACGAAAAGTTTCACTTGTAGGTATCGTCATCATTCATTTTTATCATTCAAAAAAATCTAATACTGATTTAGTGGTCGAAGAGTGATCTACGGTTGTTGAAGTTGATGTATACTGACTGTTGTGTGGGCGTGTGGTTATAAGCCCAAAACAGAAAGATTGTCGCATGACCTTAAAATATCAATAATAATTTAATTTGGCTGACAAACTTTCTAGCATTTGATTATGCAAGTAGTTATACATAAAAAATTAAAAGGTAAGTAAGTTTATGGAAAAACATGGAATCGCTCATGTTTATTTTCGGTACGATTGACAAACACTGTGACTGTTGAATAAACGTTCACTCAAATTCATCAAAAAACGAAGAAAACTTACTAATATGATAGTTGATAAGATCAATAGGACCAGCATGCCGTAGTTGATAAAAGTAGCGAATGATGATCATCGACTTGTTTAAATATAGTAATTGAAGTAATTAGCATATTGTCAACCGAGAATAAATTTCTACGCCATTTCTACGTAAAATCCGCTTAGTGAAAAATTATTACACTGCTTGAAATTTCTATTGAAATATAGTTTTCGCAACGAATTATTATTATTCTTTGAGTTGGAAAAAGCTTATCATGAATTTTTGAATTTTTTAATATGTAAGTTTTCTTATTCGTTTTATCAGTGTTTATATCGAATATATGCCAAACTATACGAATATGTATGAATGCAAATCGAATTTACTCAAATTTAGCCAAAAAAAATCTAGAAAATCCTAGAGAAATCTTTTTTCAGTCCATTACAATTATTATTTATTTAATTTGATGAATTTGCATACTGGCCTTATGTATTTAATTAATTGTTAAGGCATTGTTCTCGTTCATATCATGAAAATAATATCCATTTCAAGCAAAACTAAGATTTTAGATTTGTGCATAATTTGAACAATTTGCCTCTATGGCTGAATATATAAATAATTGGCATATAAATCGAGATAGAATTTTAAAAAAATTTTTTTTTAATTAAATTTTTTATGTTTTAATGAACAATTGGATGAAAAGTTGACAAATATTTTGTTCATATTATTATCGATTTCGCGATACGCGATTTTTCTCCGTGTAAAACAATTCAAAAAATAATTTCATTCAAAAATATGAAAATATGAAATACCAAAGATTGAATGAATATAATTTCATAATTCTATAATTCTATATAGTAGTAATTCATTGAAATAATTTATTTATTATAACCTTTTCATTCATTTTTCTTTATATTAGCATTGATGAAAATTTTAGGTTTGCTCCGATTACGATATTGGATCCGAATTAACGACGCTTTTACTCAGTAGATTAATACCACTTAATCGAAAGAGCCTCTATCCAAATAACCAACCGGTAAAATGCCTAATAAGATTAGACAATCGCGGTCATCTCGCAGATTACAAACTACTTATAATATAAGTTCTACAATAAAGTCAGAACGATTATAGGATTTGAATTCAGCTTATAAGATTTTGACTGGTTTTCTTGTTCTGAAGAATAATTATTCATAATTCTAATACCATTAGATATAGTCAATGAATGCTGAGTAGACCTATTCACAAAATGAAAATACGATCCCAGAAAAATTTCATTCTTTATCTAAACTACTGGAATAAATTAGTTTCAGCTGTAATTTTTTATATTCATATAGATTTCAATTTTAGAAACTCAATAAATGAATGAAATATTTATAATATAATAAAATCGAATCTAATGTATCACATTATATATTTATATTTATCATATCAAAAATTGAAAATATGATAAAATATATTTATCATATTTTCAATTTTTTTGTGAATTTCTTTATTTTTTCGTTTATTAATATTAAATGCTTGGCTCGGCTGATACTATTTGATTCGTTTTTCTTTGATAAAAAAAAAGATAATTTTAAAATTTTTTTTTATAAAAATAAATTTTCAGAAATTAGTTGTAATTTCGTGATCGAATAAATTCGCTGTATTTTGTTCTTTGACGTATTAATCGTTCGTTATAGTATGCGTTAATCATATTTTAATTATGAAATTTATTTATATATATAATACTAAATACTCAAATACTAAATAAATATTGCAAAATATTTTTTTTGCAAACAATTATTTTACAAAAATTATGAAGCGTAAGAACTTTGAACCGATTATAATTATGAAACAATTAATGTAGAAAAAGAAAAAAAAATAAAGAAAATCGACCACTCGTTGTAGCTGCTCGATTCGTAGCATATTTATTGAAATTTTTTAAGAACATTTTGTAAATTTTTATAGTTTCCTCGAATTTCCCTTTTTCTTGTTGAAATTGAGCCCAATTGAGAGAGTGCACTGTTCCTGTAGATAGTGTCAGCTATTTGGTTATTCCATTCAATATATGCACTCGTATTTGCTATTTTACTGTTTGTTAAACAGTTTCTGATCTCTATAAGCACGTCTCTATATATAATCGGCTTGAATTCTCTCCAGTACGACAGATCGTTGCTTCTAAGGTAAAATAATGATCTTTATCATCTATTCTTATACCGTTATGATCAATTTTGTTTTTTAAGTCGGAGTTTTTCTAGCCACTGAGAAGATTTATCAGCCGCTTCGATTATCAGTACATCGCATAGAGCGCACTATTTTTTTTTCTAATGTATACTTGATATATTTCAGCGGATTATCCTTGACATTGATCGACATTGATCTTAAATGCGATTTCTTGCCGTTATGCACTATCTAGTATCTCTTGTGTTTCTACACCAAAAAACTATCAGCAAAAAACAGCTTAATTAAGTCCTGTGACACCATGCTGTGGATTTGTTGATATGAATTTTGATGTCCACAATGCAATTGCAAAGGAAAAGATGCAGCCTCGACAACTAGTTTCTATTTCGAAAAGATCTATTAATACTCAATATACACAGATCTATGCTAGTAAAATATTTTCTTTTCCCTTCACAAATTAAAAATTCCAGTGGAAATTTTTAATTTTACAAATTATAATGAAAAAATTCCAGGGAAAAATTAATCCTAAAAATTCCAGGGAAAAAGGGAAAAATTAATCCTTGCTAGAACAGAAAATTGCATTTTTCAGTGGTCTAAACTCGATTTTACGTGTTTCATTGAAATCGTTGTAGCGTTTCTTATTCGGTTTCTACCGGTTTTGCAGCATATTTTATTAATCCTTTTACGCAGATCTCTGTGAGTTACGACAAAGATGATTGAATGTAGTAAAATATTAAATGAGGCACAAAAATGGATAATAGAACCAATATCCTCTAAAGCCTGAAAAAATTTTAATTTTATGCTATATTAAATCATAAAAATATTTTCATTATAAAAATCGATTTCAACATGAACTGTTTAAATAGATTATTTTTTAAATATATGAAAAACCTCAGAGTGGAATAATTCCGCAGAGCCAATAATTGAAGCGGGCAGTGCTCCAAATATCATAGAAACAATTATGATATATAATGATGATCTATTTGCCT